ATCTCTTGTGCCTGTCCCAGAGCCAATGTTCTTTTGGAAGGTCTTAGAGACCACTGTCTCTGTAGTAGTTTCTTGTTGCTGCTATAACAAATGATCACAAACTTAGTGACTTAACACACAAATTTATTATCTCATAGTTGTAAAGAGTAGAAGTTCTAAAATCAAGGTGTTGGTAGGGCTACATTCCTACTGGATTTATTAGGGGATAATTTGATTCTTTGCTTTTTCTAGCTTCTAGAGGCATTCCTTGGCTTGTGATCCCTTCCTTCATGTTCAAAGTCAGCAGCATAGCATCTTCAAATATCTCTATTAACTCTTCTTCCTTCATAACACATCCTCTGACTTTAACCTTCTTGCTGCCTCCTCCTAAGGACGCTTGTAGTTACATTAGGCCCACCAGATAACCCAGGATAATCTTTCCATTGTAAGATCCTTCACTTAATGATGTTGCAAAATCTCTTTTGCCCTGTAAGAGAACTACTCACAGTTTCTGAAGACTAGGACATGGACATATTTGAGTGTCATTATTCTGCTGACCACAGTCTCCAAACTACATTTGAGAGACACATGACTCCTTCCTTTTCTCTAGACCAGAATAATAATGTGTTCTGATGAAAAATAATGTATTCTGGTTATTAAGATGCTTATTTCTGTTTGTTTGCCAATTTGTTCTGTACATTATGAAATATATCCTTCTGGACAATGTTTAATAGATGAGGTATAAATAAATGTAAATAGAAGATGTCATTTTCCCCACAGCCAGCGGATTGCTTACTACACTCACGATGGGTACCAAGTCCTCTTTAGAGACCACTGTCCTGGACCATCCTTTTTCTAGGTTCACTGCCAATCACTGTCCTGAACATTCCTTTCTTCTGTTAGTTGGATGTGCTATTTATAGGGTAGAAGGCACTTGAGCTCCAGTATAATGAGGTTGTTAACCGCATAGGTATTTATGTCTGTCAGACAGGTTCAAATCCCAGCTCCACCAATACCACCTGTTCAACCTCCATCACATTGCTCAACCCCATAGGCCTCAGTTTTTTCACTGGTAATGTGCATAATGTCTACCTCATAGGGTTGCTTGTGAGGATTAAACATTCAGTGTGAGGCCGGGTTCACTCCTGCTATATCCTAGTACTTTGGAGGCCAAGGTGGGTGGATCACTTGAGGCCAGGAGTTTGAGACTGGTCTGGCCAATAGCAAGACCCCGTCTCTACTAAAAATGCAAAAAATTGGTGATTCACACTTGTAATCCCAGCTACTTGGGAGGCTGAGGCATGAGTATTTAAATATACATAATTCTGTATTTCTGTATGAGAGAACCCAGGAGGTGGAGGTTGCAGCAAACCAAGATCGTACCACTGCACTCCAGCCTGGGCGACAGAGCGAGACTCTGTCTCAAAAATAAATAAATAAATAATGTTCAATGGAATTTTAATAATAATATGATATCAGATTTATACTCTTTGAAGTTTAATATTAGGATCTTTCATTGAATTTAGTCTTACTTGTGCTCAGCACCCATTTTCCGACTTATTTTTAGGTTGGTTACCCCCAATTAAGGCCACTTTCAATGTCTGTGTGTTGATTCCTTTGAATATCGTTCCTGGGGCTTCCATAACACAAAGTACCACAAACTTAAAACAACAGAACTTTTTATTCTATCTCAGTTCTGGAGGGCAGAAGTCTGAAATAAGGGGCTAGCAGGGCCATGCTTTCCTTGGAGGCTCTAGAGGAGAACTCTTCCTTGCCTCTTCCTAGCTTCTGGAACTCCAGGGATTCCCTGGCTTATAACAGCATCACTCCAGTTTCTCCTACCTTCACATGACCTTCTCTGTGTGTCTCTCTGTGACCCCTTCTCTTAAGGACACCAATCATAGATTTAGAGCCTCCCCTAAATGTAGAATGATTTCCCCTCAAGAGCTTAACTAATTACATCTGCAGAGATACTATTTCTAAACAATGTCACAGTCTGAGTTTCTGGGTGGATGTGATGTGGTGGGGAGAGGGGTAGTGATACTATGCTACTCATTATACTTCCCTCTTGCAGAATTGCTTTGCTAGCAAGTTCTGGGAGGCTCCTGCCTTTGTCTCAATGTACATGTGTCAGAGCTCGGGGTCTTGAGAGTCTGAGGGCTGGAGGAACACAGACAACCTGGAAATCAGTAGTTTTGCCTTGCGTAACCCCCATCCCCTTGCCACTGGCATGGCTACTTTTCGCAAGGAAGAAAAATCACCATCAACTTATGCTCAGTGTTGCCATTCTGTGTACAGCCCTGTAGCCCTTGGAGTACTTCTCATTTGGGCTTTCAGCATCTTCATAAGAAGAAGAAGAAGGAAAAAAATGCTGTTTGGTATCACGCAGCAGCGTTTGTGTTTGCAAAATGTCTCTCCCATTAGACAATTCCAATTTAAAATACAGATTAGCTCTGACAAAACTGACCCAGGCCAGCTTTTCCCTTTGATGGTTTCCATTTCAGGTGTATTCATCACAAATCATTGTAATACAACAGGATTTTGACAGAACAGAGTTAGGAGTTTTAAATTCTTACCTGCAATTTTCAGCTTTAGGGAGTAACTTCTGAGAGAAAAACAACAATAACTTAGTTCGAGAATATGAAAACATGCTGAATTTCCTCTTGGAATTTTATGTTCCTAGGCATTTATCAAGCCTCTTTCCTGATGAACAAATTAAGCTCTGATACCAAATTATGAGCCTTATAAAATCTACCACATTTATCCTTTTGCCTTAAGTACAAAGGAAGCTTGGGGGAAAACACTGATCAATTTCATTAATTATTAGCTTAGGTATTTATTATATCCAGGCCTTCTCCCTGTGTGTTTTATTTAAGTTCTGTTTCTATTTTAAGATTTTATTGTACATATGACTACATCCCTCCTGCATGTTTACTTCCTTGCCCCGGCTTCTGACACTGCTCTTACTTTCTGCTCTTTTCTGACCATTTCTTCCCTTCGTTTTTTTCTCCTCCGTCTCCTCTGCCTACTTTTGAATGCCAATGTTTTCCAGGATCTCTGCTCTTCTCTCTGAACATGCAGCCCTTGGAGTTCTTATATTCTCTGAGGAGGTCAGCTGCTCCCTGGATACTGATGACTCCCAAAACAGTACTTCGAACTGCACCCTTTTCCTGCATTTGATTGAGACTCAAATGCATCAACCTGCTTGTTAGGCAAATTGTGCTTGCGTGTACCCCACAGTCGCTCAGTGATTGTAAATGGGAACTCAATACCTTTCTCCCAGACTTTCCCTTCTCCACTCCTGCCCCTGTCGCCAGTCTTAGTGGGCAGCTCAGGCAATGGCCAGGCGTCTCAAGCAGGAACTGCTGAGGTATCAAAGACTTTCTTCTCTTTCTCATTCTCACATTCAACATCCATATCCTGTTGTTCTCCCTTCTAAGTATTTCTGAAATCTCTCTCTCTCTCTTCAGTTTTACTGGCTCTGAATTTCAGACATGGAATTAGATGATAATTCAGACGTGGACTTAATGATAAATCTTGGCTGTTCCCTTATCCTCCTAACTGGACCATATCATGCTTAAACATTTCTGTGGTTTTCATGGCTGCTTGCCATCTGACAGGGAGGCCATGCTTTTTCTTGCTTCCACAGCTTTGCTGATGCTATTCTCTCCACCTGAAACACTGTTGCCAACATTCTCTGCCTGGTTAATTCTTTTTTTTTTTTTTTTTTTTTTTTTTAGACAGAGTTTCACTCTTGTTACTCAGGCTGGAGTGCAATGGCGCGATCCCGGCTCACCGCAACCTCCGCCTCCTGGGTTCAGGCAATTCTCCTGCCTCAGCCTCCTGAGTAGCTGGGACTACAGGCACGCGCCACCATGCCCAGCTAGTTTTTTGTAGGTTTAGTAGAGACGGGGTTTCACCATGTTGACCAGGATGGTCTTGATCTCTTGACCTCGTGATCCACCCGCCTCGGCCTCCCAAAGTGCTGGGATTACAGGCGTTAGCCACCGCGCCCGGCCTGCCTGGTTAATTCTTACACGACCTTAACTCAGCTCAAGTGTTATTCAACAAGCATTGATTGAGCACCAAGTATATGCAGGCAATATTGGAGTCCCAGTGGTGAACAGGCAGACAGGGACTCTGTCCTCATGAAACTTTATTCTAATAAAACTTTCAATGAACTACAATATTGAGCTGAATGCTTCTCCCTCGACCTGTTCTTCCAGCAGCCTGTGTGTGCTCCATCACTATCTTTTGCCTGTTAGACTGAAATCATCTTTCTGTCTCTCTTCTCTAATGGACTGTAAATTTCTTGAGGGTAGGGGCCAAGCCACAGTCTCACAGTATTCCTAGTATCCAGAACGGTGCATAGCACTTGGTAGATTCTTAGTATGGTTCCCTTGTAACTCAACTATAGATTATGAATACTTGATTCCACTGCTCAGCATAAGCTCCCATTCTCAAAGAAAGTTTTCCTTGACCCTCCAGAACAAGTCTGCCATCCTCCTGATATGTCCCTATACTATCACATACTGTTTTTTCCCAGAATTTTGTACTCATAACTAATTATGTTTCCAACTATTTACATTCGGTTTTCTGTACTAAGTTGTAAATTCTACGAGGTTCAAGATAGAGCTATCACACTGCGTAGCCTATAATAGGTGCTCAATATATATTTGCTAACTAGAAAAGTGACGAATTTTCATGCTGGATAAAAATCCTGAATGAAGTGCTGAGGCCTACAGAAAAATTAGAGCCAACTGCCTGCTGGCCCAACGCCTGACTCTACCCATCTGTAAAATGGAGATGTTTCTGGGGGATAATATTGGATAGCAGATAAACTTTACATTAAAATCATATCAAATCAAATATGCATAAATAGATTATACAAAAAAGACAGGATTAAATAATTAAACACATCAGCTGCAGTTCCAGATGGGCTCTTAATTACGTATTTCAGGATGTGATGTTTTATTCCCCCACCAGACATAATAACCATTTTCTTCTCTTTTCTTTCCCAGCATCTGAGAGAGCAGTTCCTGAGCAAAACAAAACAGAAACAGGACAGGTAAAACATCTGTGAAGTATTTGACGTATATCACTTAAATTATACAAATTCACAGTAGTGGCTGGGCATGGTGACTCATGCCTATGATCCCAGCACTTTGGGAAGCCTGGCGGGCAGATCACTTGAGGCCAGAAGTTTGAGATCACACTAGCCAATACAGTAAAACCCTATCTCTATTAAAAATGAAAAAATTAGCTGGATGTGGTGGCACATGCCTGCAGTCCCAGCTACTCAGAAGGATGAGGCATGAGGAGCGCTTAGACCCAGGAGGCAGAGGTTGCAGTGAGCCAAGATTGTGCCATTGCACTCCAGCCTGGGCGACAGAGCAAGACTCTGTCTCAAGAAAAAAAACCAATCAACAGTAGAAGTTTGCAGAGATGAACTAGGAAAAGCAGGATATTGCTAAGTGGCAAAATTAATTGCAATGATTATGAAATAGCCCAAGAATTTGTAGACTTGTATTCTTGGCAGAAATAACCTTGATTGTTACTTCTGTGTGTGCTGATGCTTTGAAAAGCAAAAAGAAGAAAACATAAAAAAATGCAAGATCATTGTGTGCTCCTTCTGCATGGCCCAGAATTCATGACATACTGCAGAATCAACACCTGATATCAATATTCCTCTTATTTTCTGGGGGTACTGTTTGTTTATTTTTATTATTACAAAAGTGATTCAAGCCACTTTAAGTGAAAGCTTCAGGCAGTACAGATGTCTGTAAAGGATACGTGAAGGTCCCCCATCCCCTTTTTCTTCTTCCCCATCTCTCTCTCAGACACTGTCTGTTGTCCTGCCCTGGTTGCTATGCCCACTGTGTGTTACAGAATGGAACAAAGAGAGAGGGAGAAAGCATAGCCTGGTCAATGGAGATGGCATAGTCCTGGCAAGATGCCTCAATGCCCGCCTGCAGAGCAGCACCTCTCAATTTTTTTCGTGTCAGGGTCCCTTTATACTCCATTATTTTTTTTAAGACATAGTCTCACTCTTTTGCCCAGGCTGGAGTGCAGTGGCACAATCTTGACTCACTGCAACCCTCACCTCCTGGGTTCAAGAGATTCTCCTTGAACCCAGGAGGGCTCAGTGAGAACCTTGGTTGCAGTGAGCTGATATCGCGCCACTGCACTCCAGCCTGGCAACAGAGCTAAACTCCGTCTCAAAAAAAAAAAAAAAAAAAAAAAAGAGATTCTTCTGCCTCAGCCTCCCAAGTAGCTGGGACTATAGGTGTGCACCACCATGCCCAGCTAATTTTTTGTATTTTTAATACAGACGGGGTTTCATCATGTTGGCCAAGCTGGTCTTGAGCTCCTAACCTCAAATGATCCACCCATCTTGGCCTCCCAAACTGCTAGAATTATAGACATGAGCAACCACACCTGCCCTATACTCTTTTTGTTTTTAACTTGGATTTTACTTGTGTATGTAAATAGCAACATGAGTACAGGGAGTTCTAAGGCTTGTGGCTTATATCTAAGTGAAAGGACTTCAGATTCATTTGCTTGTAGGATGGCATTACCCAAGATAACAGAGGCCTAGTATAATTTTTCCTGGAGAAGAAAGTCCGTTTAATACATTCAATGCTGACTTCTCTGCCATTTTTTTGTAAAAATACTTATTGACCATATGAAGTTTCTATTGCTTACCTATAACTGATTAAAATTTGCAGAGAATGGAATTTTCTACTTGTTTTCAGATGAATCCCTCACATTTCCTGGCTTTGGAAAGTTCTTCTTCCAAAAATCTTTCATGACTCTCTATCCTTGTAAGCCCGGGTCATATAATCTCTCCTTTCTGACCTGTACAAATTCAACGGGTTGTTGCAGATAATGAATAGAAGCTGCTAATCTCATGAAACCAGGTGGAAATATCCGCTGCTTTATTTTTGAACCTCTAGCCAAAACAAGTCCAACAAGGCCAACCAAACTGATAACACCTAGTCCTGGAAAAAATCCAGCAGGTGCATTTTGGAGCTATTCATAGCTGTCTCACCCCCATTGAACCAAACTTTACATCTTGGGCTTCATTTGGGAGGACCTTTCCTGACACCAACATGTATATAGCTCATGACAATGTCAAAGCTGAGAGATGCTTTTCTCAAGCTGGGTTTAGATTGGCCCTCGCGAACTCAGTAGAGTAAAAGCTCATAAAGCTTCCTGGGATTTGTGGGAGGGGAGTCCTTTTTTGGTGTTGCATAGACTTTGAAGGTGAGTAGGCTCAGGCTGGCCAGGCCCACGGTCCTCTGAACCACCTTGAACATGTTACCGGCAGTGGGGGCTCTCACAGGGCCATTTTATACTCTTGAAACTCAGTTTCTAGCCTGGGCAACATGGTGTGACCCAATCTCTACCAAAGTAAAAATGAAAAATAGCCAAGTGTGGTACCATGTACCTGTAGTCCCAGTTACTTTCGGAAGCTAGGGTGGGAGGATCACTTGAGTCCAGGAGGTTGAGACTGCAGTGAGCCTGGTTTGTGCCACTGCACTACAACCTAGGCAAAAGAGAGAGATCCTGTCTCAAAAAAAAGTAATAGTTCAGGTCTCATGGCACACTCCTGTAACCCCACTTTGGGAGGCTGAGACAGGAGGATTGCTTGAGCCCAGGAGTTTGAGACCAGCCTGGGCAAAACAGTGAGATTCTGTGTCTACAAAAAATTAAAAAAAAATAGCCAGGCATGGTGGTGCAAGCCTGTAGTCCCATATACCCAGGAGGCTGAGGCGGGAGGATTGCTTGAACCTGGGAGTTCAAAGCTACAGTGAGCTGTAATCGTTGCCACTGCACTCCAGCCTGGGCAAGAGCAAGACCATGTCTCTATGAAAGAAAAAAAAAATCCGTTTCTTAAAACTGAGACTTTGCTTTGTTTTATTTTTGATTGTCTAGACTGTTCAGCAGAAAACACAGAGACATTTTTGCAATTAAAAAAATTTTTTAGGCCAGGTGTGGTGGTTCATGCCTATAATCCCAGCACATTGGGAGGCTGAGGTGGGCAGATCACTTGAGGTCAGGAGTTCGAGACCAGCCTGGCCAACATGGTGAAACCCCATCTGTACTAAAACCCCAAAAATTAGCCAGACGAGGAGGCGAGTACCTGTAACCCCAGCTATTTGGGAGGCTGAGACAGGAGAATCGCTTGAGCTTGGGAGGCAGAGGTTGCAGTGAACCGAGATCATATCACTGCACTCCAGTGTGGGTGACAGAGCGAGACTTGGTCTCAAAAAAAAAAAAATTTTTTTTTTTTAAATCCCAGCAATTTGGAAGGCAATGATGGCAGGAGGATCACTTGAGCCCAGGCATGGGAACATTGTGAGATACCATCTCATTTTTAAAATTAAAAAAAAAAAAGTAAACTTTTCCTTTAGGTTCAGGTACATGTGCAAGTTTGTTACACATGTGTCTGTATTTTAAAAAAATTTTAAAATCAATTCATTTAAAAATAACAAGAAGCCCACTTTGTACTAACGTAACATGTTTAACAGCAACTAACTCTATTTTGAAAAGAATATTACTGAGAAAAATGAGTGAAAAAATTAGTGAGAAAAATGGCATTGTTTTACATTTCTTGCAAATCTCATTAATGCCTGGCTTAATAGGAGACAGAGGGATTCTCATCTCTGCTTTCCACATTCTGTATCAGTGAGAGCAATGACATCACACATCACATAGCCTAGGGAAAGTCTACTGTATATCTCATGAGAGAATGACAGGAAAAATGGCAAAAACGTCCCATGAAAATCATTTTGCTCTCATGAGCTCCACATCTAGACTTTGAGAACCACTGCTGTAAAAAATGGGAAATTAAGTTTCATTTTCTCTTTAATCCTGTTTTCCCTGGAAGCCTAAGTCAGCCATGAAAAGAGCAGCACAGGGCTAGGGAGACCTCAATGGATTTGAGCAGTAGCCATGAAAGGGATTTGACTATGGAAAACACAGCTCACAACAGTTATTTTTTACCCTCAGACTCCTGAGGCCCACAGCCCCTTATGCCTGTTGTCTAACACTAAGGAAAATTTTGGGATATGGGCAACGTGTTTTAGATTTTCAGAGATTTTTGGCAAAAGATGGTGAAATGTGGTTAAACTGCTGGTGGTTGTAAGGTACCCTTGGGTGGGGATGTTATCCTGTGAGGGTGGTGTCTAGCAGTGACTGGGCTCCTCTCCTTGCCTGTGTCCCATCAGATGGATGGAATGCCCACACTCACGAAGGATGAAATAGTCACCTCCCAACTACTGATGGTCGTTGTCCCCTCCTTGGGATTTGTGCTGTTGGCATTGCTCGTGGCATTTATTTTCAGAGGTAAGGAGGCAGGGCCAGGTGATGGAGCACTTCAGAACCCTGATGACTGCAGGAGGATCTGGAGTTCTATCCACTTCCTTCCCCTTTCTCTCTCCGCAAATAGGCTCAGTTTTGTCACTGTCTCCATCCCAGCCAAGGAAGTAACAAGTAAGCTCATTCTCCATAAGCGGCTAATGCCTCTGTGTATTAACCTCCTGGTAGAGCTGACATTTTGGAAAAGAAAAAAAAAAAGCAGAATAAGAGCACCTTCATTTATTGGACATTTCTGTGCCAGTCCTGATGGTATACTCTTGACATGCCTAATTCATTTTATCCCTATGACTGTCTTAAGAGGAAAGTATCATTATTATCACTATCTTTGTTCTATGGTTGAGAAAACCTTAGCTCGTCTCTTCTTTTGGCTAGGATTATTGCAGGAAGAAGACCATGAACGATTCCTGGTTTTTTTTTGTTTTGTTTTGTTTTTTTGTTTTTTTTTTTTGAGATGAAGTCTCACTCTGTTGTTCAGGCTGGAGTGCAGTGGCACGATCTCAGCTTACTGCAACCTCCGCCTCCTGGGTTCAAGTGATTCTTCTGCGTAAGCCTCCTGAGTAGCTGAGGCTACAGGTGCTCACCACCACACCAGCTAATTTTTGTATTTTAAGTAGAGACGAGGTTTCCCCATGTGGGCGAGGCTGGTCTGGAACTCCTGACGTCAGGTGATCCACCCACTTTGGCCTCCCAAAATGCTGGGATTACAGGCATGAGCCACCATGCCTGGCCTGATCCTGGTTTTCTTAGGTGTTCCCTGAAAGCAAGTCACAGGTGGCTTCAAGAGTAATGTGATTCCTTTCAAATCGTGCAAAAGTACTTATATGTTCATGCCTACATTTTTCAGGGGACAAAGTCTATAGTTTTCATTAAATTCTCAAGCTGCTTCATGACCTTGCACCTCCATCCCACCCCACCCCTGCCCCCAAAAGTTTTTAAACACTACAAAAACGAGCCATGAAACAGAGCTTATGGTTTTCATGCAAATTATAGGCACATGGCACCTGGTGCTGTTGTAAAATGCAGATAAATTGGTCTGTACTCATTAACAAAAGCTGTTTCAGGGAAGTACATCAGAAGATGAGACTAGTAACCCTCTCAGCGGATTGGAACAATAGTGAAACTTGTATATTTCAACACCTGCCCCAGGTGCAAAAGGAAATTTAAAATTTACTGGAATCCTGCTGTTAGCCTTCATACAAAGGCATGGTTACAGTTTTGAATTCTGAGTGTGTCTCATAAAGAAATGTTTACAAACCCAAGTGAGTATTTGAATTCTGGATAGGCAGATGACTCAAAATGAAATAGCTTAACTCCATTGCCCACATGTTGGAACGAGTTTGTAATTGATGAGCACTGACTGGTCTAAAACAGCAAGCACTTGACCTGGGAAAGGGAATGGCTTTTTCTGCCAAAGCCAGCCACTGGTTCTCGCCTTTGGCCCGTGTCTGCTTTTTGGGAGGCAGCACTGGATATCCCCCAGCATTTTGCATGTTCTATCCACCACAGCCACTCTGCTCACACTGCGGCCTTGTCTTTTCAGAGAAACTCATGGAACTCAATTGTTTGCAGAGGCACACGAGGTAATTTATCTTGCATGAATGGTGGTTGTAATGATTGTACAAGCTGTTACAAATGATTAGCTGCTACTCAGTGGTTTAATGACTTGAGCTTGTGTTCTGATTAAACATAGAATTGGAAAGATGTGACATTAGAAGGGAAAAAGTTATGCAGATTTAGCTCACATTAACCTGTGTCTTGGTTAACACTGTGTCTGAGCAAAATGCCAATACAAAGGCAGGTGGCATTAATAGAAGCATAGCATGCAAAGGAAAGGTGATACAGCACTCTGTTCTGTTTGAAATTTTTTGTTTACCTATGGGTAAATTAGTTTAAGAGGACATTGTTAAACTGGAGTTTATTGAGGAGAGTTGGCAATATGGAAAATGAAAAAAGCATGTAGAATATTATTCCTGGGAGTTGGTTCCTCTGCCCAATTAGATCATGGGAACAGCTTTTTATTTTGGGGCCTTTTTAAAAAGAGTATTTGAAGATTCTCTAGTAGGGGATTTTAGCCATCTGCCCTTTTGGAAAAGAAATGAAAAGACTTGGTGTAAATTATCAATGAAGGCCTTGCCTTCACTAATTAATTGCATTAATAGTGTGATATGTATTAACAAATAGGAAAATTGACACCCAGCAAAGTGACCTTTCAAGGTCATACTTAGAGACCTTTTGGTAAATAAATGTATTAAATCATGCTTTTAGATTTTGCTAAGAAATTTCTTTTATCTCCTTATTATAATGGATTGGCAGAAACTCTTTTCCCCCGCAGCCCCAGTTTTCCTGCCTGTAAAATGTAGAGCTTAAACTGAATGAACTGTGAGCCCTTTGAACTTTAAGGGTAATTGGATTGTAACTTAGCAGGATCTGTCTTTCATTTTGTTTTCTAGTCTTGTGTTTCCCATTATCAGCCTCTCTCTTCTGTTTACAGGCTAGGCAGCACTGGAGATAGTAAAAATGTCCTCAGTGATACGCGGCATGGAAGTGAAGAGGAAGATGGCTTTTTCACCCTCTAACATGCTACTTTTCGTTAGGCTTGAGAATGGGGTCATGAAAATTGAAGTGTCAAAATAAATTAGTAGGTTTACTTTTTTTGTTTGTTTCATAAAAAAGACTCACTTACCCGGTGGATGTCATTGATACACTCTTGCTTTAGTTTCACAAATGAAAGGTACTCTAGAGACAGCACCTTCTCTGTCCATGCTTTAATCATCTCTGTAGAAGTGATCTTTTATACTATACTAGAACACTTTCAGTGATGGTGAACTCCTTACCTCACCCAAGGGAGTCCATTCAATCTCAGAGCAGTTCTGAGATTCAGAAATATTTAAAGCAAAATCTATCTCCTGATGACCTCTGCCTATGGATTCTAGTTAAATTCATTGTGCCTATACAGAACATGTCTTTATTAAGGGCTAGTGTTGTGTGAACTAACAGGACAAAAATTCTATAGCCTCCATCAGTCAAGTAATAAGACTGATTTCTTTTCTCTCTTAAAGGTAATGTCAAGAGAGTAGAAATCCAAAAGATGGCTACCTTTGGAGAACCATGTACTTATTCCATTAATGTTGCTATTGCCCTAAGCATGCTGGGAAGTACTGGAGAGTGGTTAACTCTTCAGGTATTGGAAGGAGAACCTCATGTTTCTCTAAGTTTCCTTGCTTCTGGGATGCAATTTCTGGTCCTTTTGTTACCCTAATTACCTTCGTCTTGTATGTGTTTGTATCTCTCCTTTTATGCCCAGCTTTCAGAGTTTAGTGTCTCGCTGCAGGGATGATAGGAGCAGCACAGAGCCTATGCTTCATTAACAAGGCAGGAAATGACAAGGAGTCACACCATAAATTTGACTCACTTCTTTTTTTTCTTGAGATGGGGTCTCGCTCTGTTGCCCAGGCTAGAGTGCAATGGTGGAATCTCGGCTCACTGCAACCTCCACCTCCTGGGTTCAAGCAATTCTCCTGCCTCAGCCTACCGAGCAAATAGCTAGGGTTATAGGTGCCCACCACCACGCCCAGCTAATTTTTGTATTTTTAGTAGAGATAGGGTTTCACTGTATTGGCCAGGCGGGCCTCAAACTCCTGACCTCAGGTAATCAGCCGCTTCAGCCTTCTAAGGAGCTGGGATTACAGGCTTGAGCCACTGCACCCAGCCAACGTTGACTCACTTCTAAAACTCCTAAATTTTCTATTATTTTCTTTTCACATTTGAGTGTCTTTAGAGTTGACCATAGTGTCACAGCTTAATTCTTGCTTGGGGGATTTAATTTTGAAACAAAAGAGTCCATGGGAGTAAAATGTGATGAATGACAGCAATATTCAACCAGGGGCAGTGCTTAGATGCAAAAGGAAGGCAATACAAGTAAGTTTCTCTAAATATAATTCATGGAAATGTGCTCCTCAGTAACAACAGGTTTATTTTAAAACTTTTTTTTTATTCATTTTTTTATTTTATTTTAAAACTTTAGTAACTACTAACATGAGGAACCCTGGGAGAGAGATTAAAACAAACAGTTGTTGAACGAATGAATAAAAAACATGTGTGTCTGAGTGAGAGGGGCTTCTGGCTGGGTAGAAATGTGGGAAGTAAGCCATATCTGAAAGACATTTCTGTGAAGAACTTCCCAGCATGTTGATAGCAACATTAATGGAATAAGCACTTGGTTCTCCAAAGGTGTCCATCTTTTGGATTTCAGCTTTCTTGACATTACATTTAAGAGAGAAAAAAATCAGTCTAATCACTTGACTGGTGAAGCCTATAGATTTTTTGTCCTGCTGATTCACACAACACTGATCCAGCAGTTAGTAAAAATCCACCTCACCTGGGCACTTGGAATAAACTGGCCCAGGGCAGCCTGACTTCTGACTCGTTCAGTTGCTGTTGGGCAGAATGATTGGCCCCAATGATAAAAACAATGAGCAGCAGATTGGCAGTTTTTTTTTTCTTTTCTTTTTTCTTTTTTGTTTTTTGAGACAGAGGTTCACTCTTGCTGCCCAGGCTGGAGTGCAATGGTGCAATCTCAGCTCACTGCAACCTCTGCCCCCGGGGTTCAAGTGATTCTCCTGCTTCAGACTCCGAGTAGTTGGGATTACAGGTGCCTGCCACCATGCCCATCCAATTTTTTGTATTTTTAGTAAAAATAGGATTTCACCATGTTGACCAGGCTGGTCTTGAACTCCTCGCCTTAGGTGATCCACCTGCCTCAGCCTCCCAAAGTGCTGGGATTACAGGTGTGAGCCACTGCACCTGACCTTTTTTTTTTTTCCTCAGGTGAACTTGGCTTTTGTTAGCTTAAGATACAGGTATTGATTGACTTATGACCTATGCAACTTATGACCATTTGACTTTACGACCACAATCGCTAGCCACGACTGCTCCACGTCTGGCAGTGCAAACGTTGCCCAGCTGGGCGTACGACAGTGCGGACCAGCTTCCGGCAGCACTACCATCTCCGCGTGTACCATTTCAACCATAGATATAGCCTACTCAACTTACGACCAAATCGTGTTACAACCGGTCTGCCAGTCCCAATCATGGTTGTAAGTCGAGCACTAGCTGTACCTGAAATGAGTTGGTCTAATGTGCTAAACTCAAACATTTGTTTAGAAATGTGGGGGAAAGTGGGTCTAGAGTCAGGTTCAGGACCTGAATTTTCCCATCTGGAAAAGAGTGGGGCTAGATGGCTTTGGGTATGTAGTCAAGTTAATGATACACCCCACCCTAACTTCTCATGCCCCCTATCCATCTTCCCAAACCACTGCCATTATCGATGTCGTTACCAACTTGGGTCTGACTAGAAAAAGAAGACAGCAGATACCTCCTAAACAGAACATTTAAACTCAATGAATATTTTTCTGTTTTGCAAAGGGCTATCTTCAATCAATTCACAAATATATTTCTGAAACTCCTTGTTCAGACTAAGAAACACTGACATGAGCAATCATACTATTTTAGAACTGGTGATGGCCTCCAGGAGCCTCTGTCCTAGTAGTTCTCAATGTTAGCTGAACAATCAACTGGAGAGCTTTTAAATGCCAATTCCTGAGTTCTACCCTTTAAGAGATTCTTTTTGTAATTAGTCTGGGATATGACTTGGGCATCTAAATTTTTGAAAAATGTCTCGAACTGGTGCCAATGTAGAACCAAGGTCTATAAAAAAATTCTGGTCTAGTCTGGTGGCTCTCAAACAATGCACTTCAGACCAGCAGCCTTAGCATCACTGGTACTTTATAGAAATGCAGATTCAGGTCCTTCACCCCATATCTCCAGAATCAGAAACTCTGGGGTAGAGCCTAGCAGACTGTGTTTTAACAAACCTCCAGATGATTCCGATACGTGATAGAGTTTGAGAAATGTTGCAGGTAGTAATTCCTAACAGATGGATTGAGAGTTCAAGAAAAGAATCTCCCTTTTACCAGGGCTGTGTGGTGGTGGGCTTGGCCAGACAGAGGGTCAGGAGCTTCCAGTACCAGCAGCAAAGATCCTGCTGCTTCACCTCCTTTAAGCTGATAATGCTTTTTGCCTGGATTCTTGCAGTACCTTCCTAACTATAATCTCTGACTTTACTCCTTTTCCTCTCTAATCTGTTCTCCATGCTGTGGCAGAGATACCCCTTTTCAATACAGGTCTGGGATTTCTATCTCCTGACTTCTAGCCCTTTTCATCCTTGGCCCCTAGACCTACCTAGAAGCAGCAGCACATTTAGCTCTGCCTGGGGCAGAGGTGGCAAACTCCATTGACTTCAGAGGCCAGGCAGCTGATACAGTTGAGGGAGTCAACAGGAGATGACGTGGCCCATGATAAATTGAAGTGCGTGTATGTCCACTTAAGGGCGTTAAAATTTAAAATTAATTACAATAATTTCCTGGGCAAGCAAAGCATGGCTGTGGACTAAAACAAGGTAGCCAGTTTGAGACTGGGAGTAGGGGGTAGGTTTTAGTAAAAGATGAGTTAAAATATTTAATTCTTTTATCGAGACTCCTTGATCAGAGAAGTCTGTGGATATAGTTGTTCCTCTCATTCCCTCTCTGTGTAATCAGGATGAATTGTTAGCATGTATAAATAACTCTTTGGCATCTATTGTATGTGGGGCCCGGGAGAGAGAATTGCTTCTTTTAAGAAGCTTTGAATCTGAATGAGACAAACACACATGGGAAATGCAATAGAATAGGCCGGGTGAGGTGGCTCACAACTGTAATCCCAGCACTTCCGGAGGCTGAGGTGACGCATCACTTGAGGCCAGGCGTTCAAGACCATCCTGACCAACATGGCGAAACCCTGTTTCTACTAAAAATACAAAAATTAGCTGAGCCTGGCGGTGGGCGCCTGTAAGTCCAGCTACTCAAGAGGCTGAGGCAGGAGAATCGCTTGAACCTGGGAGGAGGAGGTTGCAGGGGGCCGAGATCGCGCCACTGTACTCCAGCCTGGGAAATGGATTAAGACTTTGGCTCAAAAAAAAAGTAATGCAATAGAATGGAATCAATGTTGTTTTTCCATTTCCATAAAGAAGGAACTTGATTCAGTATGTGGCTGTTACAGCTAATGATTATATGATGGATCCACAATCAAACCTCACAGTTTAAATCAGGGGCTTCCAATCTTTTGACTTCCCTGAACCACATTGGAAGAAGAATTGTCTTGGGCCACACATAAAATACGCTAATCATAGCTAATGAGCTAAAAATAAAAAATTGCAAAAAAAATCTCATAATTATTTTTTTAATCTCATAATGTTTTAAGAAAGTTTACCAATTTGTATTGGGCTGCATTCAAAGCCTTCCTGGGCCACATGCAAGCTCGATTTAAAGCAACCTAATTCTTCAGCTTTCACTATGGCCTTTCTAGGCCAAATAAAATAGATACTATCAATTTGTACTGAGCACCTACTATATTCTGGGTCCTGAATTAACTGTTTCAAGGTATTTATCTCATTGACTCCTGACAGCAGCTCAACAAAGCAGGTATATTATTTTGGCTTTGGAGCGAAGAAAACAGAAGCAGAGGCAGGTGAAGGAACTTGCTCAAGGTCACATTGTCCAACCTCCTGTAGCAGAGCTAGGTTTTCAACCAGGATTGAAGACTCCACACTCT